GCTTCATAATATCGCAAGTAGTGAGGAGGAGTGTCTTACTATCGTCGGAAAAACATTGTTTCAGCGGATGTTGGGTAACATGTGGTCAAGCAGCTCCAACGTCATCACACAAAATGTACATAGTTTTCTTTCACTCTTTAACAAATAAATTTTATACACATTGGAATATATATTATGTTAATAGCTTCGGAGTTACCATAAGAACATAAGAAGGAAGGAACACTACAGCAGGCCTACTGGCCCATGAGAGGTAGGTTCAATTCCCCCACCGGCTTAAGCCAATGCCTTAACCTAGTCAAGTCAGTCATATTCACTTAAGGGAGGAGCACGGCATCTGACCTAGTAGCACAAGCTGGTCAGGTCCAACTCACACCCACCCACACCCACTCATATATTTATCCAACCTATTTTTAAAACTACACAACGTCTTAGCTTCTATGACGGTACTCGGGAGTTTGTTCCACTCACTCTATCACTAATCACTGTATTAATTAAGGGGTCCCTCGGGCCAAAAAAATTAGCTTTTTTGTTTACCGTCCGATTTCCTCCAGCTAAACTATAGGAATTGAATCTGAACACCCCTATGGTACCCTCCACTCTTATTTTAAAAAAATCGACTTTTAAAAATTTTTTCACCAGCCTTTTCACTTTTTTATTTAAAAAAAACAATCTCACTGGCTTTTTTCCCCCCACTTTTTGGCTTTCCAGCATTTAAAAGGCTTAAAATCCACCCTTAAACTGGTTACCATTCCACTCCTAAGGTTTACATTCACCCTTATACTGGCTTACATCCCCCTTTTAGGGTTTACATCCCCCCTTTCCCGGGTTTTTCCCCTCCCCTAAAGGCTTACCAGCCCACTTTACGGCTTCCAGCCCCACCCCTTATAGGGTTTCCCATCACCCCTTATACTGGCTTACAGTCCACCCCTTAACTGGCTTACCAGCCCACCCCCTTACGGCTTACCAGTCCACCCTTATACTGGCTTAAAAAAAAAAGTCCCCCCCCTTAATTGGCTTCCAGCCCCCCCTTAATGCTTACCAGTCCCCCCCTTAAAATGGCTTCCTTCCACCCTTTATCTGGCTTACCAGTCCACCCCTTATACGGGGTTTACCTTTTACCCCTTAACGGGGCTTACCAGTCCACCCTTTTTGGGCTACCAGTCCACCCCCATACGGCTTACCAGTCCACCCCTTACTGCTTACCAGTCCACCCCTTTAGGTTACCAGTCCCCCCTTAATGGCTTACCAGTCCCCCCTTTTATACTGCTTACCATCCACCCCTTATAGGTTCCAGTCCACCCTTTATTTCCCCAAATTCCCCCCCCAAAAGGGGAAACCCCCTTTAATTTAACTGGTTACCCCCCAATTATCGGGACCAGTATTAAAAGGTTTTTAAATTTAATCGGTTATTCACCCCTTTGGATTTTTTACCATTAAAAATTAACATTTTTTTAACTAAAAAAGGGAAGGGAAGCTTGTTTAAATTTTGGGCCCGCGGTTATTGGGAACGGGCGGTGTTATTGTGGAACTCAGGTTTTTATTGTGAACTGCAGGGTTTTTTGGGAATGCAGGTGTTTTTGGGGAATGCGGTGTTTTGGGAACTGCGGGTTTATTTGTGGAACGCAGGTTTTATTCGGAACTGCGGGTGTTATTGGGGAACTGCGGTGTTATTGCGGAACTGCAGGGTTATTGGGGAGCTGCAGTGTTATTGGGAACTGCGGGTGTTTTGGGGAACTGCGGGTTTTATTGTGGAGCTGCAGGTTTATTGTGGAATGAGGTGTTATTGTGGAACTGCAGGTGTTTTGTGAACTGCGGTGTTATTGCAAACTGCGGGTTTTATTGTGGAACTGCAGGAGTTTTTGGGGGACTGCAGGTTTATTGGGGAAACTGCAGGTTTTAGTGGAACTGCAGGTGTTATTGTGGAACTGCGGGTTTATTTGGAACGCAGGGTTATTGTGGAACTGCAGGTGTTAATGCGGACTGCGGGTTTATTGTGGAATTCGGGAGTTTTTGTGGAAGCAGGTGTTTTTGGGGAAATTTGCAGGGTTATTGGGAACTGCAGGTGCATGGGAACTGCGGGTGAAAAGTGGAACTGCAGGAGTTATTGGGGAACTGCAGGTGTTTGGGGGAATTGCAGGTTTATTGGGGAACTCAGGTGTTATTGGGGGAACTGCAAAAGTTATTGTGGAACTCGGGTGTTATTGTAACTGCAGGTGTTATTAGGAACGCAGGTGTTATTGTGGAACTGCGGGTTGTTTTTGTGGAACTGCAGGGTTTTGGGAACTGCGGGTGTTTATTGTGGAACTGCAGGGGTTATTGAGGAACTGCAGGTGTTATTGTGGAACTGCAGGTTTATGGGGAAACTGAGGGGTTTTATTGGGGAACGGGCGGGTTTAATTGTGGAACTGCAGGTTTTTATTGGGAACTGCAGGTGTTATTAGGAACGCAGGTTTTAAATTGTGAACTGAAAAATTTATTGGGGAAACTGCGGGTGTTATTGGGAACTGCGGTGTTTTTGGGGAAACTGCAGGGTTATTGAGGAACTGCGGGTTTTTTTATTGGGGGAACTGCAGGGGTTATTGTGGAACGCAGGGTTTTTAAAAGTGGAACTGCAGGGTTTTGTGGAACTGCAGGTGTTTTTGGGGAATACAGGGTTTGAGGAACTCGGGTGTTTTGTGGAACTGCGGGGATTATTGTGGAACGCGGGAGTTTTGGGGAACTGCAGGTGTTTTTGAGGAACTCGGATTTATTGGGAAACGGCGGGTGTTTTAGGGAAACTGCAGATTATTGTGGAACTGCGGTTTTATGTGGAACTCAGGGTTATTGAGGAACTGCAGGAGTTAAAGGGAACGCGGGTTTTATTGGGGAACCGGGATTATTGTGGAACTGCAGGTTTTTTGAAACTGCAGGTGTTATTTTGGGACTGCAGGTGTTATTGTGGAACAGCAGGTGTTCTTGTGGAACTGCAGGTGCTCTTGAGGAACTTCAGGTTTTATTTGGGAACTGCAGGTGTTATTGTGGAACTGCAGGTGTTCTTGTGTAACAGCAGGTGTCTTTGTAGAACTGCAGGTGTTCTTGTGGAACTGCAGTTGTTATTTTGGAACAGCTGGTGGTATTTTGGAATTGCCAGTGTTCCTGTGGAACTGCAGGTGTTTTTGTGGAACAGCAGGTGTTTTTGTGGAACAGCAGGTGTTATTGTGGAACTGCTGGTGTTATTGTGGAACTTCAGTTGTTATTGTGGAACTGCAGGTGTTATTGTGGAACTGCAGGTGTTATTGTGGAACTGCACATGTTATTGTGGAAGTGCAGGTGTTCTTGTGGAACTGCAGGTGTTCTTGTGTAACAGCAGATATTATTGTCAAACAGCAGGTGTTCTTGTGGAACTGAAAGTGTTATTGTGCAACTGCAGGTGTTCTTGTGGAACTGCAGGTGTTCTTGTGGAACTGTAGACGCTCTTTTGGAACTGCAGGTGTTATTTTGGAACTGCAGGTTTAATTTTGGAATCACAGGTGTTATTTTGGGACTGCAGGTGTTATTGTGGAACTGCTGGTGTTCTTGTGGAACTGTAGGTGTTCTTGTGTAACAGCAGATATTATTGTCGAACAGCAGGTGTTCTTGTGGAATTGAAAGTGTTATTGTGCAACTGCAGGTGTTCTTGTGGAACTGCAGGTGTTCTTGTGGAACTGTAGACGCTCTTTTGGAACTGCAGGTGTCATTTTGGAACTGCTGGTTTTATTTTGGAATCACAGGTGTTATTTTGGGACTGCAGGTGTTATTGTGGAACTGCTGGTGTTCTTGTGGAACTGCAGGTGTTCTTGTGGAACTTCAGGTGTTTTTTTGGAACTGCATGTGTTATTGTGGAACTGCAGGTGCTCTTGTGTAACAGCAGGTATCCTTGTGGAACTGCAGGTGTTCTTGTGGAACTGTAAGTGTTATTTTGGAACTGCAGGTGTTATTTTGGAACTGCATGTGTTATTTTGGAACTGCACGTGTTATTGTGGAACTGAAGATGTTTTTGTGTAACAGCAGGTGTTATTGTGGAACAGCAGGTGTTCTTGTGGAACTGCTGGTGTTATTTTGGTATTGCCGGTGTTCCTGTGGAACTGCAGGTGTTCTTTTGTAACAGCAGGTGTTATTGTGGAACTGCAGGTGTTCTTGTGTAAGAGCAGGTGTTATTGCGGAACAGCAGGTGTTCTTGTGGAACTGAAGGTTTTATTGTGGAACTGCATGTGTTATTTTGGACCTGCAGGTGTTCTTGTGGAACTGAAGGTATTGTAGAACTGCAGGTGTTCTTGTGGAACTGCAGGTGTTATTGTGGAACTGCATGTGTTATTTTGGACCTGCAGGTGTTCTTGTGGAACTGCTGGTGTTATTGTGGAACTGCAGGTGTTATTGTGGAACTGCAGGTGTTATTGTGGAACTGCATGTGTTATTTTGGACCTGCAGGTGTTCTTGTGGAGCTGAAGGTATTGTAGAACTGCAGGTGTTCTTGTGGAACTGCTGGTGTTATTGTGGAACTGCATGTGTTATTTTGGACCTGCAGGTGTTCTTGTGGAACTGCTGGTGTTATTGTGGAACTGCAGGTGTTATTGTGGAACTGAAGGTGTTATTGTGGAACTGCAGGTGTTGTTGTGTAACAACAGGTGTTATTGTGGAACTGTAGGTGTTCCAGTGTAACAGCAGGTGTTTTTGTGGAACAGCAAGTATTGTGCAACTGCAGGTGTTCTTGTGGAACTGCAGGTGTTATTATGAAACTGCAGGTGTTATTGTGGAACTGCAGGTGTTCTTGTGGAACTTCAGGTGTTATTGTGGAACTGCAGGTGTTGTTGTTGAACAGCAGGTGTTATTGTGGAACTGCAGGTGTTATTGTGGAACAGTAGGTGCTATTGTGGAACTGCAGGTGTTATTGTGGAACTGCAGGTGTTCTTGTGGAACTTCAGGTGTTATTGTGCAGCAGCAAGTGTTATTTTGGAACAGTTGGTGTTATTGTGGAACTGCAG